TGACCTTTTCGGGATGTTTTCGCGCGCTGAGATTGCCTCATTAACCACGTAAGAGACCGGTCGCGTAATTTACAGCGCAAATTTAACGACTTGACGGTCAAGTCCATTGAACACCTTCGAGTTCGTGCTGCGAACGATGAAGTGATGTATGACAAGGCGTGTCTGGAAAGTACGTAATTGTCAGGAGAATTTGCGAGAGAATGAACTGATGTTCTATCAGTATGCCGTCTGACGGCGATTTGTTTTCCAAGACGTCTTATACTTCACGATCTATCGCAAGCGTGTAATTGTCAGATCTCTCGCTCTGTTGTTGACACAGTCACATGAGATTGCAAACGCAAATATCACGTGACTTTATAATCGTGACTAAACTAAGGTCACGTGACACGAAGGAGAGGAAAAACAGCACGTGACCAAAGTCACGTGATTTTTCTGTAGTCACGTGTTTTTTAAAAATAAGGTTGACCTATTTATTAATATGTTAGTTTTTAATTCATTTTAATTATCTGAGCTTGTTCTCAAAACGGGTAAAATAATTTAGATTACATTTTCGTTATTTACAGTTTTGTTATTTTCAGATTATATGATTTAAAAACGTCTTGTATTGTGTGCTGATAACACACATTGTCGACATTGTTCAATAATTTATCGACGCAAACGATCACCATTGAAAATATACTTTGTCTCGCTTTTCCCTTCGACCTACGTAATTTAATACAATTAATGACCGCACCTGTATGGCCTTGATCGCGAGTGATTGTCGATCGATATATATCGAATACCACATCGAAATTGCGACAGAAAGAATTCGCCGGGAATGTCGTTTGACGTAACCGACGTCGTGATTGTTGCGTGACGCTGCGGATTGGTGCGGTTGTCGGAAACGTACGTACATATGTACATACTTTGCAGGTGCATTGCGGATTTAAATATTTCATGTCGCAATATGCAAGACATAAGCGGTAACATGTAAGGACGCATTCAAGCGTTTCATATATCGGTTTTTTCCAGACTTTATGATAAAACTATAATTTACACAAGTACAAATATCGCAATTCCTAATGTTCCAATTTTTTTATCACATGTTTAATGCGAATGTTTAAATAATTCTCATAATAACTAGTTCGCAATTGAGGAAACAAATTGCAATACATCAATTATTTGCTTTCTTGAAAACCTATATAAAAAAATAAAATTAATAAATAAAATATGTGAACATGTATATTTACAATAAATAAATTACATCTTTCCTCGTTTGCTTCCAATTATTCCGCTTATTCGTATTTGCGGCGTTGAGCTCGCTTCGCAATTACAGAACGCCAAGCTGCATAACATGCAAATTTGCTTAGCGCCGCGCGTCGCGGTATATCGAATCCGAAAATCCATTAAGCTATGTGTCGTCGCAAATTCCGGCGCAGACCATCGAAAAATCATCGCTCGCCACACTTCGTTAGGCGCGTTAGTCAGCGTGGCGACGCATGTAGAAATTTTAATACGCATTCTTGTCATATTCCACTTTCCACACGACAAGTTGCCGGCAACACGTGCGTCACATGATAAAAAGACCTTCGCCGAGCAATACACTTCATCCGAACTCCCGATAGAAGAGAGCGCAAACATAACTTCGTTAATTAACGTTAATTGGTAGGTCTGATGTAATAACGTGCGACGCGCAGCTACACGCCACCAGAGTCCCATAAATATTTGTTAGCTTCGGAATTCATAGAGCGATGCCCGCATCTTCGTGATATATGACGAAGCTATGGGATAAATGCGATGGGAACAATTGTCGAACTTACAACTTAATGAAGAATAACGACTTCTGTCTTAGAAACGCGTTAGTCCAAATTATTTTTCAGTCATTTTTCAAGTGAATATTTCTCTTACATATGTAACAAAAAATAATAAAACTTCCTAGTTTTTTTCCATCATATTACAAAGATTAACTACAAGTCATTATTCAAAGAAGTTGAATCGATCGCGCATGACCTTGCGTCATTTCACAACCTTAGCAGAAATTGCGAACACAATGTCACGGATGTTATACGCGCACGTAAAGGTCTGTGAAATAATAGCCGCAATTCTAAGTTTTTTTTTGCATGAGTCAAGACGGCCGATTGCCGTCGTCGGAGCGAGTCGTTAAATTGCTTCCGCAATTCGTTTCGAAGTTATTTGCAAGAAAATAGTTCAAATTTTCACCACTTACACGCGCACGTGTGAGGAATCACAGTGCGCATCAGTGCGCATCGTTTATTCGCTCGAGACGATGCGCACGATCCGCGTGAACTTTGCCCAGTCCGTGCAAATAAATGAAACAAATCTTCGAAACACGATATTGTAAGCGAGAAAAATACAAGAATATTAACCCAAGACGTGACAATGACCAGTTTTCATACATATATTAGTAATGATTCAGAGACACGATAAAATTACCAACTAATTGAGTGACAGTAATTCGACACTTGATGAGCACGGACTATTCGAACATGCATGATGGACAGAAATCCTTTGTAGACTACTGAGATGAAAAAGATATTGCGAGTATAGAATCACGTGATTATGAATCACAAGTTGCTCTTTACGACACGGTTTTAAATGCCAACTGTCATAACATCAGCTGAGGAATATATTTATAGCGTTGCCTCAGCAAATCTCGATTACAAAAACGTGTCTTCGTGCCTGATCAGAGATCGAGATTTAAAAGAGAGGATTTCTTGTATTATGTTTGGATATATTCATATCCTACACGTTCTATATCCTTACACATTTTTTTATCCTACACATTTTTTCCCATTATTATCTCCAATCTTTTAAATTTAACCTATCAAAACAATGACGTTTGACTTGATTCTCATAAATATCCGCAATAAGTTGGGAGATAATTAAAAGCGCGAAACAAACGTGATACGATAGACGAAGCGTAACATCACGCACGAATTGAATCAAATAATAATAAGTGAGACGAGAAGCGAGTGGTTATAAATTAATTAATTAATTAATTGAGTATCAGCCCTCTGCTCGTGAACGAGCTTATCAGATCGGCTTCCGTTGTCGAGTGAATCGAACAACAGTAATTTCCGACACCTTCAAGAGCAAAATGTCACAATCCAGATTCACGCAATATCACGTATTAAAAAGCAAACTCGTATGTGACGACTCATTGCCACGTTGCATTAATTTAATAGAACGACTTAAAAACATCGTTTCTTTGTACGCGTTTTGAAAGAGAAATCAATTTCCGGAGGTTTACTTATGCGTTATACGCACGACTCGTCACCTACGGGATTCCGCCAAAGTTCGTTACACGTATCGAATATTAATTGTCACCCTGCATACATCACAGCAATATTAAAGGTTGCGTGATGACACGAGCAAGTGATGATGTTTCGAATGTTTCTGAGAAATTACACATTTCAAGATATCGTCTTACGCAAGGCCTCAAAGACATGAATTTAAAAAAAATTTCGTTTCTAAAGTGTTACAGAGATCAAAAGTCTATTAGACACGGGTCTATATAGCGACCGCGTTTCTATTTACATTACTTCTCTCAAATTACTTCCAAATGAAAGTGTGTACAGGTGTTCGTGACGGATGCGCTTTCTCTCGCCGAAAAATTAACGAAAACAACCTACGCGCGCCCGAATAATATCGGACAAATTATGTCGATAATGGAACGAGAATGGTTGGCACACGGTAAATTTCGATTGGCCGTGGGGGTCAACGATTGGTCGATCAAGTTCAGCAGCCAGTTAAGCCGACAGTTAGCCTGCTGTCGTCCGGCTAACGACTTAATGACGGGAATTCACCACTTACGAGTTCCTCTTTTTCTCCCTCCCATCCTCTCCCGTCCTATCTTCGTTCCTCTTTTGTTCGCAATTTCTTTTTTCTCTTTTCGTCGGCAATACTATTCGCGTAAAACAACGCGGTCGACGGACCGGTAACAATGTCGGAAATTAGTCGGCGCTTAAACAGTATCGTCATTAACCTTTATTGTACGGCAACCAACTAGCTATTGTCGAAAGAAGTAAATTCAAGCAAATACCCGTCAATGCGTGCGTGTGGAGAGCGAAATCAAGAGTTTTTTTTTTTTTTAATTTAATACTATTTACACGCAAGCAGATTTTATATTTCGCACACTTTTTTAGATTCTCATCGAGAATAATGACATCGCTTCCTCGCTATTTTTGGAAAATGATACATCGCAAGGCGCATATTCTATCTCACTTCGAAGATAATTGTAGTGAATACGTTCTCCGAGCGGAACGCAATGCTGTCATATATAAAAACACCGCAACACCGTTTATCTCTGTGCTTTATACTATCACAAGGTTACCTATTATCTCACATCTATCGAGACTTGCTCTTACGTAATATTGGCGAGGATAAGTTTTTGTACATTGATTTACGTAAATATGTTTGTTATTATTATTCTGTCAAAGTCGCAACTTTCTTTCGGCGTTGGTTCGTTCCGTTGCTTTTCGATTTCGTCGCCGTTAAGCGAATCGAACCGTCGAACGGGTTGGCGCGTGTGAAGATAGCATCTTGAACGCTATCATCTACAACACATTAACTTAAAGTTTAGCCTTATCCGACGATAACAATCTAATCTCTCCTCAGGATCCGACGTGCTCCAACGGGTATATCAGCAATATTACAACCATATCTTGAATGATATTCAATTACTTGCAAATCGCTGATCCGGACAGTTTTTCAGATGTCGAATCACTTTCTTAAATATATTACGCTTAATATAAGTGCATTTTATATCACTACTGAAGATTTGTTTTCGCTCATATTTTTGTTATTATTTCTGTGAATCAGTTTTTCTGACCGTCAATTACAAACACGAAACAACATGTCACCACACGTAATTTACCTGTTGAAAACTCCATGCTTCGCGTGCTAAAGATGCCGAGCAATTCTTTACGTAATATTACTCTTCCTTCCCATTTTTCGTAGACAATGGCAAAACGGACACATTCGCGGCTAGGATCTTGACGAACGCTCATGAACATTTCAGATCCTCGTGTTCTTTGTTGTTTTTTCTTTGAAGTGCATATTTAAAAGTTCTGCTTCAAGTGAATGGTGTGGTAAATTGTGTGTGTGTGTGTGTGTATGTGAATTTGAGCGCAAAATGGACGTAAGTATACTATTTGCTGATTTGCGCAAACAATTGAACATATCGTTATCGAGCAACAAATAATAATCCATCACAGTGGAATATTTACTTTTACGTCTTATTTCTAGTCATTCGTTGAGGGCGAGGTCCATATGTTGCAATGGCCGGATTACCTCGTCATCGGCGTAATTATGTCATTCTCCGTCATGGTCGGTATCTATTATCGATTCAGCGGTGGTCGACAACAGTCAGCCGCGGTCAGTTGAAAAAAAAAAAAAAACTTCAATTTCTATTTAATTAATGAATATCAATTCGCAAATCAAATTAACCGATCGTCGCGATCAATTCGCACGAATCACGTCGATACATAATATCGCAATCAATCTCGTTTCGCGATTGAATAGTTTCGTTCGCATGAATTGTCAACTACTATGCGGGAGAAGCTAATAATTGCAGTCAATTTTCCAAACGTCAACGTGTTAATATTTGCACTATTGTTTCGATCCGATAATCCGACGGAGAAATTCCGATCGGTTTGCGCGCAATAAACGTGCGTCGAACAGAACAACAGATATCTTCCAACGAAGTTTTTTTCGTGACGTAAACGCGATCGACGCTGATTATCGTCGTTTTTAACATGATAATTAACATCGACAGGAATACTTCAGCGCGAACAACTCGATGGGTATTCTACCTCTTGCGATTGCCATGATGGCTTCTCAAATATCGGCAATCACCATGCTTGGAATGAGCGGGGAGGCTTATATTCGCGGTCTGTTCGTCATGTTGCTGTACACCAACGGTATTTTCGTCGTGCCGCTTATTGCTCTGTTATATCTGCCAGTATACTTCGAGTTGAAGGTCGTGAGCATCTACGAGGTAATGCCGGACGAGAAGCGTTCGAGAAGTATCACGTATCACACAGTCTATAAGCAACTAGCTCGAATGTTATTCTTAAATTGAAATCGCGAGACAAGATTTTTTCTTTCGTAAATCTGGTTTCCTTTTTTTCACAGTATCTGGAAAAGCGATTTGGATTGTATATGCGATTACTGGTGAGCGCGGCTAATTTCATCGAGACGATGTTACTGACCGGCGTGATGTTGTACGCTCCTTCCATAGCTCTCGAAGCCACCACAGGCCTGTCCAGTATCATGAGCATTTTGATACTCGCCGGAATCTGTACCTTCTACTCGACCATAGGCGGGATCAAAGCGGTTTTGGTCACCGATATTTTTCAAGGCTTGCTCATGATCGTTTCTCTCTCCGTTATTATCTTCATCATTGTCGTAAACACCGATGGCGGAATTGCGGGTGTCTGGCGTATCGCGCAGGAAGGAAATCGTTTCGATTTTAACCAGTGAGTTGCTCTTTTGATTGTGTGTTATAAAAAAAATATTATTATATAAAAAATATTTTTACTCAAACACTTCAAAAGCGTAAAATTTTGTTTCAAAATACTCGATTTGTACGATAAACGTCATTCAAATCACAAATCAGCGTTGTAATTCGTAAAATTGTATTTTTTCATTTAGCTTCAGTTTGGATCCAACCATTCGCTATACATGGTGGTCTCTGATGATTGGCGGAGGCGCGGTATGTACGTCATTTATCGCGGTGAATCAGGTGCAAGTTCAACGTTTGATGACCGTCAAGTACGTTAGCGAAAGTTTATAAATTTATTTTCTTAAACCGAACGCACGACGCATCGCAACGTTCACTTTCTATTCCTGCAGGAATGTAAAGGTGGCTACAAACGCTCTGTTTCTGTGCGGTCCCTTCATCCTGCTAATAGGTTTCTTAACGTGTTTCACCGGGATAACTCTCTACGCGGTTTACCACAACTGCGATCCTCTGACTTCCGGAAAAATCACGACTTACGACGAGTTACTGACATACTTTATCGCGGAGAGATTGTCACCCGGTACGGTCGGTCTCATCGTTTCCGGCATCTTCAGTGCGAGTCTGAGCACAATCTCCGCAATGATGAACTCGCTGGCCGCGGTGGCGCTCGAGGATTACGTGAAACCGTTGCATCGAAAATTCGGAGTAGAATTTTCCGACAACAAAGCCGCCTTCACGGCCAAGGCTCTCACCGTTATGAACGGCTTTCTCTGCTTGTTCTTAGCGCTGCTTGCGAAAACGATGGGCACGCTGATCTCCGTCGGTCTCAGCATTCACGGAGCCGTCGGCGGACCGATTCTGGGCATTTTTACTCTCGGAATGTTCACTGAAAGCGCCAACGAGATAGGAACCATTATTGGCATGATTACAGCGTTAATCGTTTGCTTATCGGCCACCTTCGGGCCGAAGCCGCCTGTTCCGGCGCTGTCGGTGTCGGTCGAAGGTTGCGTCAACTCTACAGAACTGATGCTTGCCGAACAAATGATGTCCAACAGGTGGGACATCAACAAAAAATTGTTACTTAGAATAAAATCATTAACACAAAGCGTAAAAAAAGTTTATTTAATTAAGTAAATCAATTAATTTATTTGATTTGTTATTATGTATTAATTGACGACAACGATTAAGGTAGATTTGGAAATTCTGTTTCTTTTTTTGTGCTTTCACTTACCGAGTCTGATTATTGTGACTCTGACTGAGTCACAATAAAATCGATAAAAATGTCAAACTCCATCGTGCTTCAGTAGTTCGTAACGGTGCATTTCCTTTTACTGAAAGTTTCAACTTCAGAGCGCCATGCTTATTCCCGATAGTAGTACCGCAGTGCTCTCACACGTGAGAGCATTGCGGTATCTATCGGGAATAAATGCGATACGGATTTACGATTGGCGGCCGTTTATCTCGCTCGTCGTAGATCGACGAATCGACCGAGCATAAATTTATCTTAGCCGCGGGAAACAGATAACGGGGAGAAAGAACGTATCCGACGGTGCGCGCGGCGGCGCACGATGATTGGAATATGACTTATCGGTGTTGTGCCGCGTAAAACACACCATCGCCACAGTAAATCGACTACTCTCTCGACGAATTCGCAACGCATCGAATGTTACGTTGCGCACGTGGAGTTACGTTCGTGTCCTGATGTAATTAGCTGCAAGTTAAGCGCTACTTCTCAACTTCTTTTACGCTTGGCGCTTTCTCATGGACGATCAAGCTCGCCCCATTCGGCATTTCCCACGGTAAATAACGCTAATTGCACCGTTAATAAACTGAAATTACGGTTGTCGTGGAATCCTCGCTCGCGCTGTTAATAGTAGGATTAGATATGTTATTGCTTTTTCTCTTTGTCGGCGAAAGAATTTGTGTGAATTGACGGCTCCATTTTAATGACGCAATCAATTGCGAAAAGGGTAAAGACGGACGAGCTGATGTAATTGACGTGGCCTCGATCATATTAGATAATAATAAATCCATTTATCGTATGAATTTCAGCGCGAACATTTTTATCGTTTGATAGATGTTTTATTAATTAAATATTTTATTAATTGAATATTACAAGTGAATTTTTAAAATAATTTTAAAACTTCTTTTTTATTAAAACTTATACAAATACATCTTCTCTTTCAATCAATGTGATTTATCACATAATATTGAAGATATTTTAATTACGATACGTGTTTTAATTGACGATTTGTTTGTTTATTTTTATTGTTGCAGTACCATAGAGGAGGATCCGTCGTCGTATTTCTATTTGTACCGCATTTCCTACTTGTGGTACAATCCCATAGGACTGACAATTACTTTAGTGGTAGGATATATAGCAAGCTTAATAGTGCAACGCATTCAACGCGGAAACAATATCGAACACGACCCAAGTTTGTTTGTGCCATTTGTGGCAGCCAGAATCAAGCGGCGACGCCAGAACGCGCAGAAAACCACGAACAGTCAGATCTTCGTGCTGGAACCTAGCCACGTAAGATGAGAACACGAATAATCAATGATTATGTTATTGATTACTAATGTCAGATGTTGCATCGAATCAAATCGAGAGTATTTCAAATTTTTCTTCGACAAAGCATGTTATTACACAAGCTTTTATTAAATATCATCACAGATCAATAATATATCAGTACTAATAGTCTTGTCGATAAAAAAAATATTATTCATATTGAATAATATTTTTATAGTTATTTATATATTGCACATATATGTATATGTATATAACAACCTGTATCCTCCTATATTAAAAAAGGCATGTGTACCAAGAAGTGCGCGTTTGGAGTCGAATATATCGCACCTATTGTTGCCTCTTTTCCGCNTTGCCGATTGGTTGGTTGGTTGATCGAGTCGAATCGAATCGGTAAGATCGAGAGAGTAAATAATAAAAGCGATTTTGAGACAGTCTTTTCGTCGTATATGTAGAGAAAATTAAAAACGTAACTAAAGTCACGTGACAGGAAAGAGTAGAAAAACAACACGTAAAAATAACGTGACTGTAATTTATATTATATATAACATTAAATAATACATATTATACATATAATTTATTATATATTTATAATATTATACTTTATATTGTATTATATGTATTATATACATACTACAGAGTAATGTCACTGATCTCGGCCGCGCGGCCTTGGCGGGGTCATTGACCTCGGTCGCGTGACTGCGGTGGAGTCACTGACCTCGGCCGCGCGACCGCGGCGGTGTTACTGACTTCGGTCACGTGATTACGGTATATATATATATATATACACATATATGCGTATGTGTGTGTATTATATATAGATATAGAATATTACATATAATATATATAATATTCTCTTTTTTACCCTTTTCCTTGACTTTAGTCACGTGTTGTTTTTCCACTTCTCTTTCTCACTATTTTTTGAGTTTGATTTTCATGCGTTATTTCTGACATTTCTCATATGTGTATTATATGGTTTATAAGACATATATACTATCTGTCATCGCGGTGACAGGTTGTGTTAACTGACAACACGTTAAATAAAAATAACAATAGCGTGCGCGTAGCGCGCGCCTGTGTTGTGCTAGTTCTTAAAAATTATATTATTAAAAATTCATAAACGACACAGACTAGCTTTTGTTTTGCGGAAAGATCTTCATGTTCATCAATTTATGCTGTTACGGCTAGGGTGCTATTATCCAATTATAAAGCGAGTGAAAAAACTTGTCCGCGGACCGACGACAGGGTGAGAGTACCGTTGATGAATGTCGGGTAAGTTCGAACAAAATTTGCGCGTAACAATTTTTCGATGGGGACCGCACGTTTCTGCATTAATTTGCAATTTAACGAGCGCCAATTGGCGGAAAGAGTGGGGTGCGAGGCGATAAACGCGAGCATGTGAGTTGATTCGACGAAACCGGCGATTTAAACGGACCGATTCCGTTTAAATTGCGTTGCCGCCGAAATTGGCGCGACTTATCTCGTAATCGTCGACGGCCAATTACTTCGTCCAGCACGAGCAGGCATTTAATTCGTTTAATCGAGGTTCATCTGCGCATCGGAACGTTGTTGCCCCCTGCATCGCGCATGATTGGATGGTGAAAGAAAGAAGCAGTAATTATATACGTTCGCGGCAACTTGAGAATTGCCGGTGAATTAGTCTGGCAAAGTTTTTACAGAATATGTTTTCTTTGATAAAAAAAAAAAAAAAAATTTATTTCAAGACGATAGCAAAGTGTAAATTTGGATAAGACAAAACAAGTCTTGTATAAAAACATTTGATCTATTCGTGTGCATTCGTGTGTTTTATAGAACAACACAAAATCTTTCGTTCTTTTAAAATTAACGCAACTTATTAGACAAAGTTTATGCTATAGGCTATATAGGTTTAAATTATATATGCGCGGTGATACAGCAAGATCTTCAACAATCAGCTCACTCTTGGAATAACAAGATGCATGTAATCTCACAATGTAAATCCCGCCAATCGAAACATAAACCAATTTTCACCACACACACAGTCTTGTCCGGAACTTATCATTCCGATCTGTACACAGAAGACTCTCGCCGCTATCGCGCGCGCATCTCATTGCATTTTTACGATGACTGAAACTCGCAGCGTCGCGGTTGAGACCGGTCTCGAGAAGGACGCGCTTCGAGAATAGCGGGAGGACGATACCCATAGAAATGCGCATACGTACAATGGTCGGAACTTTTGTTCCCACCCCCTTGTCTACCCTTACGGAGTTGCATTTGAAATTGAAATTACGGACCCAGGGCTTCATACCCCGACACTCTACCGCGTCCGATCTTGATTATCGACGCGTTCCCGTTAGTTTTTTTTTTATTTTTTCCCCGTTCTTCCTCTCCTTTCCTCTTCTCTCGAGCCATCCTTTTTTCCTGTCCATCCATCCGCGCTGCTCGCGCGAATGCGTGAATATGCATGAGTTGTCTGGCGCGCGGCCAGGACGAATTTCAAAGCAGAAAATCCTGCCGACCGGTTCATTCATCGGCGCGACCGGATGTGTTTACTCTCGAGGGAAGGGTAAACTCTCTGAAGCCTTCCGTGGTTGTATTTATTTAGGATTCTACAATGGATTGCGGTAAAACGTTGTCTCTCTACGTGAATCACGTGGAAATGTGGTGCGTAATTAATGTTTTTATTCCGAATGTGTGCCATCAATATGTGACATGTTTAATAAATGCGTAAAATATGTTGAATTTTAAAAACAAAAACCAATGAAATTATTCTAGGTACATGTATTTCGCGTCGTATTTCGCGCCGAAAGGACAAAGCTGTGGATAACAAATAACAATTGCAAGTCGCTACAAAGCTCACCGACATCGTTGCGACAAGTTTTCAATTTTGAGAAAACGACTGCGAATCCCGACATAATCGTTGAAATAAAGAAAAAAAAAATTCGTGCCCGATTCCCAAGTCGCGCGCGATAACCTATGCAAAAGACAGTCTGTGCGCGATGTAGATTCTGCGCAGAATTCAGCGTTGCAACCGACCCATGCATTATAGGAAATACGATATTCATCTCGTGTCGAGATCCACAGTCGCGGCAAAATGAACGGAAAACTGCTTGTGAGAACTAAGAATCTCATATGTTGTGCACATGTGCTATACATATATTTTAAAACCAACGAAATCAGCAATTAGATTTATAGAAAATTATGCACGTAAAACTTTTATACGTATTTTAGTAAAAATCTAAAATCCTTGTAATGTCTCGTAATAATATTTAAAATGTTAAACCTTTGAAAATTCTTTAGTGAATATATATATATGTATTTTGTCCTCCTCCCTTCAATTTCTCTCTCGACTCTTTTGAAGTTTTACGTTGCTCTTGCAAATTCCGCAAACGAAGCTACAGCATTTTCTGTCTTTTATCTGGGATCGAAGCGCACTTATCGGCGCCTTATTGGTCGAAGACTAGACGCGTTATTACGGAAAAGTGCCCCAGGGTCTTGGCTGCAGCGGACGGCGCAAGTTACGGGATGGTCAGTTGAAGTTGCCGTGCCCCACGGCGGGCCCTTCCTGCCGATTTAACCGCAAAACCTCCCGGCTCTTATCTTCTGGTTTAAGTGCAGCTTGCAACTCGCCACTGTGTCCCGTGATCGGCTGTCCGTAACGGCGGCGCGGTAGAAGATTCGCCAAGAGAAGCCGTGTGAAATGATGGCTACCGGGAAGAACGCGGCGCAGGGGCGGATTTAATACGCCACGAGCGATCTCAAATTGACTTGTAAAACAGAAAGAATAAATCGCGAATATTGATTTCCCACCCGCCTTCAAATATAGACGCATGCCTCATGGCTGGCTCATATGTTATCCCGCGGCGGATGGAAATATGCGACGCGCCGAAATACACACAACTATACGGGAAAATATGGTTTCTCTGTCGAACCGCGCCGGATGAAAATCGTGGTTTCCGATTTAATAATACGTTGGGCTATGTAATTCCGATTCTCTTCATAAATTTTCAGAATTTATGCAATTTTTTGATTTCAATTTGAAGCCAGAAAAGAGATAAAGCTGATTTGTACAACACTCACTGATAGAATAATACCGTATAGAACACGTATTAATCAATTTTGTAATTTATACAAGCTACAAACTACAATAACCAGAGATATTCGAGTCGCGCGCGTTTGGAATCGAAATTACAATCAATACGGTTTTTAAAAAACTGAAGCGTCACCGCTAATTCACGAGCCGCCCCTGGCGATGCAGCTGATACTTCCATCTGCCGCGATCTTGTTGCTCTCCCGCATTTATTGTGCGGCGCATTTGCTGGCACTTTGTCGGCGAGCTCGTTATACCAGCCGAGAGGTGTTGTAGATGTATTATCGAACTCGATCGGTCTCTCTATTGTTAGCGGGCGTAGTCACGCAACAGACACCCGATCGTTTCATCCGGTTCGGCAAATCGTTTCCAGCCCTTCGCTAAAATCGTTTCTGTTAAACGCGTTTTTACAAATACCGCTTAGAATACACAAGAATGGAGGCAGGATCTCATATTCGGTTATTTCCCCATTTTCCTACAATGAATTTGATAATAAAACGATATAAAGATTCTGTCACTTTTCGCTATTATTCTTCTAATTATCAGATATCTCTGTAATTATATCACTGTTTTAATTAAAAAAAAAAAAAGTGCTAAGTGAGAAAAACGTGTCACAGTCAATTTTAACGCGCCACCCATGATGCTCTCTGGATTACACGTCGTGTTTCAACGGCCAAAAGGGAAGTTGTCTGTTACTCATCTCGTGTGATACTACACGTAACGTTCGGTGCGCGACTTGAAAAACAGCCCCTTAATCATTTTAACGTTTTCCCCGCGTCGAGGAGGGCTGTTCAAACAGCAGGTCCGACCGATATTCTCACGCGGTCTTTTTCAGGGTTTGGGTGTGTGCTTGCGTCAACAAACATTCACCTTTTTAAACACGATCTCTCTTCGGCTCGCGCGGCACTCGTTCGTTATCGGGCGTCAGACGTGTCGATTACGCTCCAGCTCGTTGAAGCACGTGTCTGTCGGTGACACGTACGGTAAAAGGACGTTGCACAGCCGCAGCGAGATTAATTGTCGTCGATTGTGAGATTGATTCTTCCTGCCCGGAAATGGCGT